AATGTTTTTAAAATAGCACGAGTTTTATCTTTATAAACATTACTTTAAATTTTCTCTATTTTATGGACTGCTATGAAACTGTTGTCCCATATGTGCTACAAGCTGGACTAATGAAGGCCATGAAGGCTTAACGTATGAAGACTGTCAGAATCTCAGTAAAGGAAAGGAGTACTTGTGGCACCTTAGAGACTAACCAATTTATTTGAGCATTTGAAGGTCAAAAATCCATTACAATCTACATACCACACAGACTATGCTGACAGCTTGTGCCTCACGCTCTCAAAGAAACTGCGGAATCACCTGATCAAGATCCTCTACAGCAAACAGGGAAAGATTAAGAATGAGCTCTCAATGCTCAAATAAATTGGTTAGTCTCTAAGGTGCCACAAGTACTCCTTTTCTTTTTGCGAATACAGACTAACACGGCTGTTCCTCTGAAACCTGTCAGTAAAAGGAGAATCCTGTCAACCTGACAATGAGGTAGAGGACAGGATCAAGCTTGAATTAAAATTGCATGGTTTTGATTTACACCCAGCCTTACCTTCTAGATAATCCTCTGCAATATAGCTGTGTTCATGCAGTATTTCCTCCATGCGGCTGAGAGTGATGGCAGCAAAATGCCCAGGGTATTTCAGCTGCAGAAGGCGCTGAAGATACACAGCTGCCTGGCATCCGCCAAGATTGATACGTTTGCAGTTTTTAGCATCCAATCTAACGCAATACAAAAAAGGCAGACAAAGGAAACTAGAGAAGTCCAGAACTTCACAGAATAAAACATCTCTTTTAAATCGCAAGGGAAAGAATATTGATTATAAATAAGTAGGCAAATACATAGCAGATCCAACACCTTTGCTACCCCCAACACCATCAACTGTAGGCACTATTCAAAAAGCTTTGTAAGTTTCATTTTTTGTTTGCAAAAAGCCCCTACTGTCAGGTCGTTTTGGTTTGCTGGGTTTTTGGGAGGTCGGGGGGGGGGACAGAACAGGCGTAGAACTGGCTTTACAGAAGGGAAAATATCAAAGATAACTGGACACAAAAAAGGTTTGTGCCCACTGAGACCTGGAAATCCCATAGGATCACAACACTTCTAAAGCAATGGAACTCAAAACAGGTTCAGTCACATTAGTTTCAGCTCCTTTAAAAAAAAGGCAAGGGGAAATACTGGAAAGGGGAAAAGTTGATTAAGAAATGCTTGAATATAAGAGTAGCAGGAGATTATCAACAGAGCATATAACACACAATTAACACCAAAAAGAAATACTTGGTCACAGTGGATTAATCTTCCCCCAGCGTACAATCAGCTTGCAGAATCCATGGCCAGAGGTTCAGAGTCACCTCGACTAGATCAGTGGCTCTCAACCTTTCCAGACTACTGTACCCCTTTCAGGAGTCTGATTTGTCTTGTGTACCCCAAGTTTCACCTCCCTTAAAAACTACTTCCTTACAAAAATCAGACAAAAATACAAAAATGTCTCAGCACACTATTACTGAAAAATTGCTTACTTTCTCATTTGTACCATATAATTATAAAAGAAATTGATTACAATATTTATATTCCACTTACATTTCAGTGCGATACTTGAGCCTGTTTTTCACTTATGAGCCATCCTGAAGATGGAGCCCTGCCACCCGGAGCTGAAGCAGGTAACTTAGTTTTGCGGGGGCCCCTGTTACGTGGCACCCCAGACAACTGCCCTGCTTGCCATCCCCTAGGGCTGGCCGTACACTTGCGACCCTCTAAGTCCGTTCCTGTGATCCCCCTGGGGGTTGCAACCCTCAGGTTGAGAAACACTGATCTAAAGGAGTTGCTACCCCCCTAGAAGACCTCTGCATACCCCCAGTGGTATGTGTACTCCTGGTTGAGAAACACTGAACTAGACTATTTTGTGAAAAACAGTATGTCTAGATATGCCAGCTCATAGAAGCACAAATTTTCCTACTTCATGGAGTAATCTGACTGCTAGAGAAAGCTCCCTACCCTGTACAGCATTGCACAACTGGCCATGTGCATCATGTGAAGAAAGTCTGCCTTTCCCTGAAGCATCAAGTATAGGCTACAGGACCACTTACTGCAGGAAGAATACTGGAATGCATGGATCAATGGTCTGATTAGTTTGGCAGAGCCCAGGTGAGGGCTTCACACGTCTGACCCAGCCTTTTAGACTGTCTAAACAATCACATTAAACACAATGTATGTACCTTTTCTACTGTGTCTGGTATTTTACTAGTAGAAAGATTATCTTACCCCTTTATTTTAGAAACATGGATTTATGCACTGTAACAATAAAGAAATGCATTGTGTGTATTCCACAAAGAGTACACTTCACCCCAGCATTCAAGTATATTAGCCCAAATCTTGCTATTGGGAGGTTGACAGCACCCATCCTTTCTTGTCTTTAATATACATTTGAGCCTGCAAAGAGTTCAGGTCCCAGCATCTATTTGGAGCAAAACACACACTGAGGGAACCTGTTGTATCTGCTGCCTGCAAGTCTGTATTCGAAATAAGAGCCGCTGTGTGTCACTTTGTGGAAACCTGTGCTAGAGCGTCACTCACCTGCCCTCTAAGACTGGCAAAACGTGCGTGCACTGATAACCAGAAGACACTATCAGACTGTTGCAAGGCCAGTCCTGCCTTCTGTTGTGGTGGAAGCTGTACATGCTGTCCACTCCATATGAAACCTTTGGGACCTGGTAACATTCAAACAGGAGCTCTGACATCATTTGCCTCGAATACAGAGGATTGCACACTGCTTCTGTTAAAACGATTGGATGGTCAACACAACCCTGCAGCAGAACAATGGGACAGAGATGATAAGAGAATTATGATGTTCATGTGATCAACACATACTGAACAGACAGATCTTTTCTCATTTCTAGTTATTTTGCATATAGAGATTAAAAGATATATGCAGATAAAGAGTGAAAGTACATTTCATTTGTTAGTCTCCCTCAGCCCTACTTAAGGAGCATAATGCAAATACTTTTGGGTACCAGCAATAGCTCGGAGCAATGATTGGTACACATTGTTTTATAGACTACTATAAAAGTCAGGATTAAGTGACAAAGTAATAAAAATACCTGAACCCTGTCTACCCTATAAATTCCACCATTACTTCAACTAGTAGAGAATAATGGGCTGGGTCCTAATTTTAGGAAGAAAAGGGAGCTTTTTAATGCATCTAAGTGACTTAGGATCCCAACTCCCATTTCCAAAATGGATTCAGGCAGTTAGGAATCTAATTGTGAGTGGGATATAGGCTCCTTTGAAAGCTTTACCCAAGGCTTAAAAGGGCTGGATTTTTTTTTTTTTTTTTTTTTTTTTTTTTTTACACACAATATGGTAAAGGGCTGTACAAACAAAATACAGTCTGATATATAAGACAGACAACTAGGTCAAGGAGGGATGGTCACTCAGCTAAACCCCCAAATCTCTTTGCTAAAGGCTGGCTCTAAACAACTTGTTCTCAACCAAGGTCCTGCAACAAGAACTCTGCAGAGCCTCCCAGAAGTCAACGCCCCACTCCCGGTGCAGTTCTCAGTGCAGGACGGACTGGACAGCTTCGTTTTACAACCCAGAACCCAAGACACTGGGCACAATCAGAACACAGCCCCCTAAAGAGAAAACTAGAAGCGCCTTTGGGATTTCCTACCGTAACACATACTCTGTTCTGTACCTCGGCCGTCTCATCCCACCAGTAGCTTTACCTGAGAACGCCCCCATTTCCCTCCGTTATTGCTCAGCCACAAACTCTGTCCCACCCCAAGCTCTTCACCCTTCCCATCCCGACCCCCCAGTCAATACCCAGTGTCGGTCTACCTCCCCCGCCCGCCTTCCCAAACAGTGTGACCAGAAACCTTTCTCCACTTCTGCTCCTCCTGGATCCTCCTTCCCACAACCGTCCCCAGCCATGCCCCTCACCCCTCTGCTCAGACTCCCCCCCCCATTCCCCGCTGGGTTTCACCTGGTCCTTCCCCGGGGCTAGCGCCCCCCGTCCCTGCTCTTCCCCGCGGCCCAGGTTCCAGATCCCTCCTCGGTCCCCCCGGTCCCGACCCTGCCCCCGGGCGGCACCTGCGAGGAGACGCCCAGGCGCTGGAAGATGTGGTCGAACAGCAGCTCCTGCAGCTCCAGCTGCACGGGCACGTTGCGGTCGAAGGGCGAGCGGAGGAGCCAGCGCAGCGGCTCGGGGCTGCCCAGGTCGTTGCCCACCTGGGTCTCGGCGCCAGCCCCGCCCCGGGCCCCCCGGCTCCGGGCCGCTAGCGAGCGGAATCTGAGCAGCGGCTCCCCGGGCACCTCGGGGTCCGGACAGGCCCAGCCCGCCCGCGCCTGGAACGAGCCGTTATCGATCACTAGCGGCACGGGCTGCGGCGTGCGCACGGCCGGGCGGGGCCCCAGCACCGGGTCCGGCAGCCAGCGGGCATCGCGGAACGGGAACACCAGGCCCGCCGCCGCCGCCATCCTGGGGCCGCCGCGCGCGCGCTCGCTCCGCTCCGCTCCGGCCGGGAACAGGAGCCCGCCACCAGCGTTCCGGGCCGGGCGGAGCTCAGGGTGCAGCGGGGCGGGTGAAACGGGCCTCGGCGTGGGCAGCTGCTGTCTGCGGACAACCTCCGCGAAGGCTTAACTGCTTTGCCTGTGGCCGCCTCTGCATTCGTCCAGCTTGCAGCGCATGCGGGACAACCGGCTGCTAGCACTCCCGAAGCGAGAGGCCATAAAACGGAGAGAACTTAAAGGAACGTTTGTCCAGATAAAAACCATCCTGCTGTTTTTAAAAACGTCTTGATTGTGTTAGTGTAAAATCCCCCTGTTACTAATAACGGATTATTTCCGATGCATAGGTTTCAGAGTAGCAGCCCTGTTAGTCTGTAGTCGCGAAAGGAAAAGGAGGACTTGTGGCCCCTTAGAGACTAACTAATTTATTGGAGCATAAGCTTTTGTGAGCTACAGTCTCTAAGGGGCCACAAGTCCTCCTTTTCTTTTTCCGATGCATAAAGTTTTAAAATCAAATTTGACTTTTTATCATTTCTGTATTGCTAGCACTAGGTGAAAACAGACGCGTCAGTTTCACTTCTGTTTGATCTGGTTCTTTCTTGCTTCTCAGGTGAACCTCACATGGTTCTATCCTTTCAGGGTAGCAGCCCTGTTAGTCTGTATCGGCAGAAAGAACAGGAGTACTTGTGGCACTTTAAAGACTAACAAATTATTTGAGCATAAGCTTTCGTGGGCTACAGTCCACTTCATCAGATGCCTAGAATGGAACATTTAGTAAGAAGATATATAGATAGATATACACAGAAAACATGAAAAGGTGGAGTAAGAGGCTAATTAATTAAGATGAGCTATTATCAGCAGGAGAAAACAACTCTTGTAGTGATAATCAAGATGGCCCATTTAGACAGTTGACAAGAAGGTGTGAGGATACTTAACATGGGGAAATAGATTCAATATGTGTGATGACCCAGCCACTCCCACTCTCTATTCAAAACTCCCCAGGTTAATGGTATCTACTTTGCATATTAATTCAAGCTCAGCAGTTTCTCATTGGAATCTATTTTTGAAGCTTTTCTGTTGCAAAATTGCCACCTTTAAATCTGTTACTGAGCGGCCAGAGGGGGTTGAAGTGTTCTCCTACCGGTTTTTGAATGGTATAATCCCTGATGTCATGTTAGTGTGTCTAGCACTTCAGAGAATAAATGTGACAAACTGGAAGATTTTGCGTATCAAAGGGATCTAAAATGTAGTGGCTAAACTATAAGTCACTTTAGGCAGCTTTCCAAGAAGGTTAATGCTAAGGATGAGTACTTTCTTGAAGAATCATATAAAGAAAGAGCTTCTACAAGAAGCAGCGATTCAGCAAAAAAAAAAAAAAAAAAAAAACCCACACCTGGTAAAACTGGTTTATAAGCCAAGCTTTGCCACCCCTCAGTTTCGCAACTCATGATGCTTAGGAGCAGAGCGGAGACTTTTCCGACTATGCTTTCCCCTTAAAGCCTTCCAGCTAAAAATTATGGCAGTTAAACCTTTTAAATACTTTATCTCAAAGCCTTAATTGTACAGTTTTCCTTTAGAAATATTTAACTAAATTTTTAGTATACCTGTGCCTAAGAGAAGCATTGTCTAGTTAGAGCAAGAGACCTGAGTCAGTAGTGTTGGGTTTTGTTCCCCCTCTACCGCTGACTGGCTATCTAGCCTTAGGCAACTCACTAAGAGCCTGATTTTCAGAAATGCTGAGTCCCTACAATTCCCATGAAAGTCAATGGAAGCTGCAGATACTCAGCCTCTTTGAAACACGGCCCACTGATTTCTTTGTTTACCCAGGCTACAAAGTAGGAATAACAAGACTTCCCTTGCTCACATGTGTGCTGTCAGGGTTAATTAATTAGAATTTACAAAGCACCTGGAGAACTTGGGATAAAAAATTCAAAAGGTTTTGAATATTATAGAAAACAAATGTATACACAAACAAGAAAATTAAAAGCATGCAAACATTAGTAATGTGCACTTATATACCCCCCTTCATCTGACATTTTTTTCCAAGTGCTATACAAACAATTAAGCAACACAAACTCCCTAAGATGAGTGGTTAGTAATGGTTTTATCTGACTGATGGAGAAACACACAGAGAGAAGTTAAGTGATTTTTCCACAGTTGCACCATAGGTCAATGAGAGAGCGCGGACTTTTTCCTAGTGTTCCTGCTCTAATCACTGCCAAACTCCCTTGTGATGAGAAATAAGTTAAAACCCACAATTCCTATAAAAAGGAATATTTTACCTTTCTTAAAAGGAAAAAAAGGGGAAAAAAGAATAGATAAAGAGTTACTAATATACTTGTCAAGGAAAGAAAAGAATCACAAAGGGATTCAAACATACTGAGATGGTTATACTATCTATCTATCTATCATTTCTCTGAAAATTGCTTATTGCTTATCTCAATTGTGAGAGCCTGACATAAGAACTTTTCACTAAATATAAGTTTCTTCTTTAACCATCTCTGTAGGTTTGATCCTGATTGCAGTCTTTCTTTCCTTGGAAGGTGTGCTAGTCACCTTGTTTTTGACAAATATTAAAGTGCCTTGTCATCTATTTTTTTACAGTAGGCATGGAAGTACTGTTTATTATATTTTTATAGGCTTTGGAGGGCTCATAATTTATGGCTATCTTCTAATTGCAAATATAAGGAGGGGCAATTAAACCAGATTCTTTCCAGTTTATTTTTTTCATCCTGCCCTTAATCCTTTTTGTTTCCTTCCTCAGTGGGCTATGGGTTGTCCTTCATACTAGCTAAGCTGAGAATGACAGCATAGTCTTTTTGTGACACGCACTGTGATGCTACCAAAAGGTAGCTACTGAAGCAGAGTAAGCAACCAGTTTAGCTTGCCCTGAAACTAGCTATGAGGTATCCTCTGGTTCCTTTGGTGAACGATTTGACCTTTCCTCTTCTCTTTTTTTGGTTTTGTTTGCCATTTGGGTTGTTGTTGATCCTACTGATTATCTGGCTTCACCTTTTACTCAATGAAGGTAAGTTTTACTATCAGATAGATCAATGTTTTTGTACAAAGGCTTTAAGTATTAGCTTTCCTTTTACAGCACTCTGCTAGCTATTTTTAGGCTAATGCAGCTTGCCTCCTAAAGAAACTAAAGGCTTTCTCAGTGCAGCAGGTTGTATGTGGAAAATCAAGCTCAATATATGATGTTTAATCAGTTAAGAATGTCTAGCTAGAAGGACCTGTTATTAATGGTGGATTCTCTTTGTTAATCGTTCTTTGAAAAGCAACCATTTAACTTAAGAGAGTTGTGGAAGAATGTTTTGTGGATTTTAAATAAAGCTCCCCCCCCCTTTTTTTTTTGTGGTGAAACCTCAAATATTATTGAGTTATCTCGTAAGTGGGTATTTGCTCTTCTCCTCAGTCACTTATGATATTGTTTCTGAGTGCCAGCACTGACGCCTTGTCAAATAGTACAGGGACTGAAAGGAAGCTTTTGCAAGGGAGAAATGTGTTTGTTTTCATTTATTGATGTGTTTTCGTTCTCTTTGTGATTCCCCCCTTGGCATTTCTCCGCCTTCTCATACATCAGCAGCTAACAACAGGCTTGCTGATGTCCCTGAAGGGATGAGGCATTGTTAGTTCTAACCTTGCAGTGTAATTGACCTGGCTTAGAGCACAGGTATCAATTCTAGGCTCAGGAACAGTGTTTCTCCTTTGAAGGCACTGCCTTCAAAGAGAATAAAGTCTAATGTAAAACATGTCTTCAGCTCAAATTGATGCAATTTGCTTTTCTTTCAATTCTGTAAGGCCCAGTCCTGTAGTGGGTTCCGTGGGAGTAGTGAGAATGGACTTTACTGAACTGTGTGGCAGCAGCAGAATGACAAGTACTGGTAGCTAAGCAGGATGATAGTCCCCAACCATCCTTTATCCTCTCCTATGCGTGCACAGACACCCACATGTTACATTTTGACTTGGAGTCCCCCTCTGCAGAAACTAAGATTCACCACTTTATTGTCCTGTAGATACAGATTTGCTGAGGGAGGAACATGGGGACTTTTGGATCCCATTGCTAGATTGCTCTGGGACAAAGACTACAACTGGTATTGTCTTGATCAAACGAGGGCAGGTGACAACCATATTTCAGTGCCCACTGGTTACCATGTACGTAAAGTACCTACTACATGTGCCCTGAAGCTTATTGTTATGGATAATATAACTGAACTGTGGGGGTGATTGAAAGGTTCAGGGCTTAGGGGTGATGGTAGCACAAAGTTACCTGAGTGGAATGGAAATGTTTCTGAGGGCATGGCCTACCTGTGTGCATATATGTGTATTTATATAATGATCTGGATATGGCTGTACATACATATTTAGTTCATTGCCATTTCAGATTATTCTGTGTGGAGGTGTGGGTATGCATAAGCTGTCCCAGGGCAAGTGACAGTTTACACTGGTACAATGCATCTAGTGGGTTGCACTGGTATAGCTACATTGGTGAAGCTACTCCACTAGTATAAATCTCAGGGCAGGTCTACACCACAGCCGGGATCGACGCTCTGAGATCCATCCACTGGTAGTCGATTTAGCGGGTATAGTGAAGATCCGCCAATCAATAGCAAACCACTCTCCAGTCGACCCCTGTACTCTACCCCCGATGAGAAGAGTAAGGTAAGTCGATGGGCTATGTAAAATGACCCTGCTTAGTCCCTACCTGGTCTATTCAGTCATATCAGCTTAACTAGCATCGTGTGAAATATTTCGTATTATTTTACGGCAGTTAACTTTGGAGCCAGCACAACTGCGGGGGAGTGAGATGGATTCTACTCTTCTTAGAATCATAGAATCATAGAATATCAGGGTTGGAAGGGATCTCACCCTGGGTTTAGCAGGCCAGTGCTCAAACCACTGAGCTATCCCTCCCCCCCCCACCTCAAGAGAATTGCTCACTAAACTCTAGTGGGTTACAGTTGTTCAGTCTCATAGTAATGTACAAGTGTATGAGAGCCTCAGTTGGCTTCCAAAACCTCAACTATGGGTGGTGATATGCTAGAGGTAAGGAACCACACTTGACTCTCAGACCCCAAGTTGAGCTTATAGGACTAGCAGGTAGAGAGGGAAAACAAATCTCTAACTTGTAACCTGAACACATTTGAAATAAAAATCACTATGACACAATACAGGTGGAATCCCACAATGCAACTTTCTAGAGTAATTTTTCACAGTAGAGCCATACTTTAAATGCAGCTGCTGTACCCTAATACTTAACACTTCTGTTCTCCTTTTTCCCTAATCCCAACCCCATACAGTTACTTTACATTTAACTTAAAAAAATTATTTTCAGCCCAAGTGCCCCGTGCCAAAGAAATAAAGAAGCCATCTTCTGATCAGTCTGATGACAATGCAGACCCTAAATCTGAGAATGAGTCCACAGGGAATAAAAGCTGGAGTGAGATACCTGCTATGGAGTTCCAAAAGGAGATGTGGATGAAGGCCCCTAAGGGGCCCAAGCCGGCTTATCTGAGTTCAAAACCAAGAGTCGAAACAAAAGGTCTCTTTACTGCAATCTCGGACAGTCTGTCATGGGCTCAGGGGACAAGGCTATGTCGCTTTGAGAAGAATGCCCTGTATAATATCATAATGGTGAGTGGACCGGCCATACCAGCTCTTTATGTGAGGGCTGTTTATGTGTGTGTGTCTCATGCCTGTCTCTTTCTCCCCACCACCTCAACCAAACTCAGATTCTGATTGTTTAATCAGCAGGGCAGAAAAAAACAAATTTATTTGTGTCTGTCCCATACTAAACTCTTTTCCGTTTCAATGGTTCCTGTTCTGGGTAGTAGTTAAAGGTGCTATGTAAGGACACACGAGTGCCTTTATATATTAAATAAAATCCTAACCATTGCAAAGCTACTCTAGTTCAAAAGGCAGACACAGCACCTCAGCAGTAGCTTTCATTTTCTCAATGATCTGATTCAGCTAAAAGGCTGCACTCTACTGTGTATACAAACTCCCTTTGATATAACATGTCAGCATGTAACTTTTGAATGTATTGATAATATAATTTTTAAAGCTGTTCTAGACTCCAAATAATGGAATATGTGTAAGACTAAAAACTACAGATACAGGCTCTTCCTTCAAAAATTATTTTGCCCTCTTCACTTACTTGACCAGACCTGAATTCTGGATTCTCAAATTTCCTTGCTGATATTGAAGTCCCAAGCATCTAACTTAGAGCACAGAATGCAGTGCTACTTGTTCTCTAAGTATTTATGACATCATCCACTGCTGTGGGGTCTTGGCATGTCACTAAAGTAGGAAATATCTTTCAAATGCTATAAAAGCCTGTTATAAAGTACACATGGAATATAAATCTTCTGTTGATCTCACCTTTTGTGTGTTGATCCTGGAGTTAGATATCCAGTGACTTCAGTGGGGCTCTGCAGGGGAGAGTAGCTGTCCATGCGGAGTAGCTTGGGGACTCGGGATTTAGATCAGTTCCTTTTTATGTGATTTAGAGCAGTTCCTTGCTGTGTGCCAGGTGAGCTGGGGAAACGTGGGGGGAGAACCAGATGCTCATTGTGGTCTTACACCTGAAATGCCATCAGTTTAAAGATTATCTTCACCAAGAAAAATCTCTTTCCCCCTTTTTCCTGTTAGCTACTGTGCACCCTGCTTCTCTCTCTCATCTGGAACTTTGGCTGCCAATTGCTTGAGATCTCCAATGTCGTGATGATTCAGCTGCTGCCATCATCGCTGGTTATCTGCACAGCTCAGCTTTTCACCCTACTGAGAGGAAAGGTTGTGAAAATCTTGGACTCCCTGAGACTAGAAATCAGAGGGCTGTCTGCTTCATTCACTGGGAGGAGATATGAGAAAACTGAAGTAAAGTGATGCAGCAATATGCATGGTGGTTCCAAAGTGGAGAACTACATTGGTGTGCAAATAAAACAAGTGGGGATGTTGCCACGAGCAGTAACCTATACAATGTCCTTGAGAGCAGTTAGTGTGGAACAGAGGCATAGAAATTCTCTAATCTTGACTATGTGTTCCTTTGTTTTTTTTCTTTTAATCTAGATTCTAGTGGATTAGCATATACACACACACCCCCACCCCACAACTGGCTTCCATGTGGATAATATCAATAGACCAAGTACTGTTAGTTGAGCGGACACCTTTTGCCAGGACCAACCTCTCATTTCAAACACTTAAGGCAATGAATGTCAGTTGATTGTTCAAGCACCATTACGCTCCCAATGACATAGAAAATAACGGGTCATATTTCAATCAGCCCATTGTTTTTCTGGTCTCTAACTTGTAAGACCCCAAATGTTGGAGATGAGCAGATTTTTCAGTTCTCAGCTTCTGAGAAATGGAACAAACCTACCTTAGATTGCTAATGGGTTCATTGCTGCACAATATATAGAGACACTGGGCACAAGACTTCTCCATTCGTGCCCAGTGTTCCTGGTGGATTCTTTTTAAGCACTTAGCATCTTGTGCATATGATATCAGGTTGTGCCCCAAAAGGGTACATTTGTGCTCAGAAATTTAAATTGCCTCTACTAGGTGCAGGGACTGTAGGGCTGATGAAAATGGGGGGAGCCACTAATTTGTGTCCTAAGGGAATACCTGATAGACACATTATAAGCAGAAGGGACACGGACTATTGCATTGAGCTCAGTAAGTTCTTGACAAATCTTTAAAAGGGCAGCAGATCACAACCACACACAAGCTGTATCATTGTTCAGCAATCAAAGCATTCACAGAGTTTGAAAGAACCTTTGTTTTCCTAGAGAAGTTCTGTAAATAAGTTGCCCTGCATAGAAGTACATGAAAGGACTGCATAATTATTGTATTAACCTATGCTATTGATGCAGCATGTCTTGTGTATGTTGTCTTCTCTTAAGACATTTATAAAAAACAGCTATTACATTTCCTGGGACTTCTCTGGTTGCTAAATTCTAAATAAAACATGTGGCAAACTGCACAAGATTGAATAAATGGTTTATTTAAGAAGAGTTTAGTTGTCATTCCTCAGCTGGCTGGGGCTAATTAAAGTATCCATGCCTGGAAGGTGCATATAGGGCTGGGATGGTTCTCCTTTTAGAACACTCCTATGAGGATGAGTAAAAGATTTTGCCTCACAGTCTGACCATGCTAAATCAGTGCACTCACAGTTGGAAAGTGACTGGAAGGTGGTCTGTTCTCTCTCCCCAGTTCACAGTGGTGTGTATGTACCAATCACTGGCTTGGCAGGTGTCTGACACCACAGTCTCAGGAAGATGGGCCAGCTTAAATATTTAAAATAGCTGCCAGTGGAGTGGAACGCTAGTTACAGCCTGCTACTATTTTTAATGTGAGCTGTAGCTTCTAGGTACAACAGGGGGTTGTCTGAGCTTTCCTGATCTTTAAATGACTGACATTTCCCCCTCCTTGAAGTAGTAAGTGAAACAGACAACAGATTAGGAAATCAAATGTACAAATAAAGATTTGAGCTCTAACAGTTCACAGAAGACTAAAGCAACATTTATGTCCTTTCCATTGGAATTTCACCCTTATTTTTCAGGAGAGCTCAGAACCAATAATTACTCTTCTGCCTGCTCCAGTGGAACATGAAACAGTATGAGGTAGAAGGAATGGAAGGAGATACTCCTCTTGTCTCTTCCAACTTAATTTTTTTGTTTTCTTCCATTCCTTATATTTCTTACTGGTTCATGTTCTACTGAAGCAGCAGAAAAGTAAGTATTGGTAGTGAGCTCTTCCCTATTGCCAGTATATACCTGTGTCCTGCATGCCCCTAGTTATTTGAACAGTAGCTTCATCTGACCACAGAAATAGGAATAGCACAGAGAACCACACCCTCTCACAGCTGGCCAGCTTTGAAATAATCAGATGAATGGGAGTCCCTAAGACCAGAGTATGATTTGCATTGATCTGGTTTTGAACCTTATTGCAAATGCTTTCCAGTAGTAGAAAAAACATAGATTTAGAGTAGCAGGTTTGCATAGGTCTTTATTATAAAGATGATCTTAGTGCACTTACTTTCATTTACTGCATTTTTCAAAATTAATTTGTGCATACACTTCACTGCTGCAACTTTCGAGTGAGCTGAGCCGCTTTAATTTAGTAAAAAGAGAAGGAGTACTTGTGGCACCTTAGAGACTAACAAATTTATTTGAGCATAAGCTTTCGTGAGCTACAGCTCACTTCATCGGATGCATTCAGTGGAAAATACAGTGGGGAGATTTATATACATAGAGAACATGAAACAAATTTAGTACTTCACCATTAGACATCTAATGCCTTTCCCTTATCCCAAGGACTATTGAGCTCCTCCTCCCACAAAACATTAGTTTGCAACATGAACCAAAAATTATAAAAATACACAAGGGGCAGAGCACTTATCCCATACATTAATGATCTCATCTCAACTCGGCATAGGATGAAGGATGCTTGGTAAAGACTGTTTCTCCCAAGTGCTCATGCAACAGTCCAAGTCACTGAAGATAACAAATGACGTCTTTGCACATTGAGGGCTTTCCTCCTGCAAACACTGAAACGGGCTTAAGCGGTTGGAGGCGCACCTTGCATATTTCTGCAGCAGCAATCACATATTCAAGGCCGGGGAAGCTGCTGGGTTCGAGGTGGCCTGAGCCAGCAATCAGCAACATCGTCAGGTGGCGGGGCCTAAAAAAAGTTCGTAGTTCGCGAGCTCGCTGTGTCTTAAGATAGCGGAGGGAATTCGTCGCTTTACGTGAAGAATGTTACTTCTGCAGTAAGGCTAGTTTTGCACGATCTGCTTTCCCTGCAGGTTTCATTGAATTGTGCTTTTTTTTTTTTTAAACCCAAAGCAACAACCGCAATCCAACCCCTGTTCCAAGTTTCTCCCCTGGTCTCTCTTAACAAGCGTATTTTCCTCGCTGCCAGGCGGAGAAAGGGGAAGCACCGTGCTTCAAGCAGGCGATGGAGAGCACCCTTCCCCCGTCCCTACCCAGGCTTCTCCTCCCTCCTTTACGCGAATCGCGCCTCGAGCTCGCTCTGCCCGACTCCACCCCCTTCTCCCTGCAGCCCGGCTCCTTTCAAACCCGCCCAAGCCCCTCCTCTCGTGCCCGGGGCCAGCAATTAGAAGCCCGCGGAGGAGCCCGGCCGGACCCGCGGATTCTCGCGTCGCTGGTTCGCTCCATCCCCACGCAGGGCTGTGGGCCAGGCTCCCCGCAGAGCAGGTAGGAGGCGGGACCCCTGGAGGAGCGATGTTCCCAGCCGCTGCTGGTTCCTAAGGGTCCCGGAGAGGGGAGCGCAGCTGCAGGGCCCTTTGGCGGGGCTCGGGCGGGAGGCTGAGCCCCTCGCCGGGGCATTGCAAGCGAGGCGGGGACGCTCTGGGCGCCGGGGGTTGCTCCCGCTGCCAAGAGGACCTAGGGGTGAGAGATTTGCCTTGTCCCCGTGGCTAGAACGTGACCGAGGGTGGGTGACCCTCTGGTTGACAGCCCCCAGTAATGATTGGGGGTGTCCGGGCTTTGCAACACCCGAAAATCCCCAGAATGAGCCTGGCTCCCCACCCCATGGTACAGCCTTGTTCTGTGCAGGGCTGCAGCGCTGGCTGGGGACTGGCAATGGTGCGGACAAGTGTGTGTATGAGACATCTAGGCGTGGGGATGCTTTAGTCTAGCTGTTACAGGCGAGTAAACAGTTGTGGGAACAGTGGGATAGGGGACACCTTCTCCCCCCCCTTTTTTTTTTTCCTTTCTCCCCTTCGCACCAGGCTTGCATATTTATAGGATCTGTCTAATCCTTCGTGTTAATGGTGCTGGGTAAGTGGCGGTGTGGTGCAGCTGGACCGTTACACTGCTGCGTTCCCTGCAAATTCAGCTTCTCTTGTCATGCCGGCGAGCGAGCGCTGCTCCTGTTTGCTCTGAAGCCCCCTGGTGTTAGCGGAATGTTCGCCAGCGGGAAGAGCGTTTCCGGGCCTGGGCATACAGCGTGTGTGTACCCACACGTGTGTTAGCATGAGCAAGGATCCTGCAGTTGGATTCTTGCCCAAAGCCCCTGGCACCCACGTGGAGAGCCCTTCACTCGAGGTCGTTTGCGTGGCTCTAAATGCAGCATCTGTCCTTAAGTTAGTAAGTCTTGCTTTGGGTTATGGTAAGATAGTAACTTCCTGGAGTTGCCAAAGTAACACCACTGTGATTTATTTTTAGTGATCTTGGCAAAGCATGTTTATAAGGAATGGGTGGATAAGTTATTGCTGGCTAACGGGCTCCTGAAATACTATCTTATAGTTGGGTATTAATATCTGCTGCATTGGATTGCTATTTTCTGTTTTTTAAGGTTGGTGGGCAAATAAATTTGGTTTTTGTTTGTTTTCCTGGTAACTGAATCAAAGATGTGCAGAAATACCTGAATATAATGATGTGCCACCACCTGGCTCTGCTAGAAAGAAATGAGAGGCTATTTAGGCTCAGGCTTGGATTTGAAGCTTATTTTCGTAAGATTTTTGGCTGCATTCAAACCAGGCCCAGAGAATTGGCCCTTCTGGTTTTGGATTTAGCCAAGAACCAAAACTGTTGGCATGAAGACTCAAATCTGAACCCTTCTCCCTGTGAAACGTCAAGAGTCTTGATATTCTGGCTTTGGCCCAGCTGCATTTCCTACTGGAAGTGAAGTATTGTGACTCCATCTTAGCAGTTGTTTTCTCTCTCTTTCCAAGTATTGCATTTAATTCTTAATTTTTTCCTTCCAGGCTAATAATTCCAGTGCCTGCCTCTGCTACTACCTGTAGCTTTGCCAAACAGTTACACTGAATTGATGCAAGTGTCATGATTCTTTCCAGTTTCACTGCTTCCCACAGGTTCCTGAATAGTAGTAGTGAATCTCAGTGTCATCATAATTTTATTCTGTTGCTGCATGCAAGAGTTACTTTATAAGCAGAAGCAGAGAAACTGCTGCTGTCTGTGTGCAGACTCAGGAACTGATGCAGAACTGCTTCTGATCTGGAAGGTTATTTCTGCATTCATGAGGATTAGAAACATTTTTTAAAAATAAAAGCTGGCAACATTTTTGGCTTGAGCTCCATTATAGAATCATAGAATATCAGGGTTGGAAGGGACCTCAGGAGGTCACCTAATCCAACCCCCTGCTCAAAGCTGGACCAATCCCCAACATTACTCAACAGGATACTCTATTCACCTGTGGCAAGTCAGTGGATTGTATTTAAGCCCTTTGTATTGCTACACTTAGGATGTTCTCCAAACTGAAAAGTTTGAATCTGTTCAGTCTACCTTTTGGGGATCAGTTTGGAGTAAAGGTTAGTATATGGTGGTGTATGAGATGAAGGATGCACTTGAGGCTCAAGCACAGGACTAGGAATCGGGAGATGTGGATTGTGTTCCTATCTCTACCACAAGTGCTCTGTGTGACCTTGGACAAGTCACTTAAGCTCTCTGTGCCTGGGTTTTCTTATCTGCAAAACTGCCACTTCATGGGCATGTTATGATGCTTAATTCATGTTTGTGAAGTGTTTTGGGATTCTCTTCTAGAAGGTACTATTGGTTTTGGGATGACCAGATGTTTAAAGGTATCTTTGGAGCTTAAGTAACTGGAAAAATTGGAAAATGGTCTCCTGGATCACTCTACTTCTAACCAGGAAGAAATTAAAATGGCCTAATACACAGTGCATGTGTGGGGAGGAGGAATATGAATGGATTGTATAAGTAATTTTTGTTTGTTCTTATAAAAGCTAAGATGGTATTTTGTATAGGAATTTTGTGATCTGACTTAACACGAGGTGCTTTTTTTTATATATATATATAGTAGAGCAGAGCACTCATAAAAGCTAAGAAATCTGGTAGTATCACTTTATAACCCATTGAATTAAGATGGAGGCTGATTAATTCCAATCTTAAAAAGTGTCTTGTAATTTAGATCCTTTAATTTTTGGCTACTTTACTTAACACTTTTAAGGAACTTGGTTCTCAAACTTCAGAG